ATATGGAAGGAAGGACTCTTTTAGACGTATGCCTCATCTATTAGCTTTAAAAGCATACAAATAGGCAGCAAATATAGCTCCTTCAGAACTAACGTAACATGGATTCATCTAGATAGATCAGCTGCTAAGATGTCAATATCAGTTCTATTGCTAGCTGAAACTTCTAGATCACTTCCAACAAGTAGAATGATTTTTAATCCAACCTACGAGAATAATAATTATTACTATAGCCAGACTCTATGTAATCTATAAATGACCCAGCAGATGGATTGATCCAAAGTTCAAACCAAATAGACTGTTATGTAAGTCAGAAATGACAGAATACGGTGGAACTTCAAGTCTTCTATGCTATGGGTTTAAGCAGAATTCCTACAGCACTACTTTTTAAAATTGACTTTGCAGGTAATAAATAGTGAAACTGTTTTGACACTGAGCCCGGATCCATAAAACAGAGCTTAGAGCACACAGTGGTTATATACTGCATGTCCCTCTCCCTCTGTTTGGAAAGACAATGATAAAAGTAACAGATAGATAGATAGATAGATAGATAGATAGATAGATAGATAGACAGACAGACAGACAGACAGACAGACAGACAGACAGACAGACAGACAGACAGACAGACAGATAGATACAGGGCTTTTTTTCTCATAGAACGCCTGGCACCTTTTTTGGATGGAACCTTGTAGGGTAGGCAAGATGGGTTATATGACATGTGTGAGTTCTGGCATCTTTTTTTTTTAGAAAAAAACCACTGGATGGATAGATAGATAGATAGATAGATAGATAGATAGATAGATAGATAGATAGATAGATAGATAGATAACCTTTATTGTCATTTTTAACTGTGGGCACAATGGCATACTAAAAGTGAAATTTAGTTGCTTGCTCTCAAAGTGTAAACATATATAACAACATTTAAACATACTATATACAACATATGTATACACTTATAAATATGTTACATATAAGTAACATATACATATTAATCACTGTCCATCTTGAATACATAATGGAAGGAGGAAGGAAATGAAAGCAATATTAGTGCTGACAGAGTGGGGTGAGGGAGAAGCTTGGGTTATGGTCTTCATCCAGTTAGACCAGTGTTTCCCAAACTTGACAATTTTAAGGCATGTGGACTTCAACTCCCAGAATTCCACAGCCAGCAATGCTGGCTGTGGAATTCTGGGAGTTGAAGTCCACATGCCTTAAAATTGTCAAGTTTGGAAAACACTGAGTTAGACTGACCGTCTGTTTCTCAGGTACCTGGTCCCAAAAGAGAATGTTCATGACTGTACAACACTTATTACACTATTACAAGTGTCAGGAGGGCTTTTGCTTTTTCTCCATCCAAAGTTTCCGTTCCTGTTCTTCCCAATCAACGTATTTCAGTTTTGCATAAATAAAAGCTGAATCTTTGTTTCTCTCCTTAGCCAGGCCAGTTGAATTCAGTCTATCAGAAAATATTATGTTCTGGATTAGGGGTCTGTGCGAAGCTTCAATTTAGAAATTGCATTTGAAATTGATTCAATCAAATCTCTGAATCAAATTTATTTATTTATTTATGAGACTTATATACCGCTTTAAGTGCAAGCACTCTCTAAGCGGTGTACACCAGTAAGCAATGTATATATATATTTACATTGCCCCCAACAATCTGGGTCCTCATTTTACCTACCCCAGAAGGATGGAAGGCTGAGTCAACCTTGAGCCGGTGAGATTTGAACCGCTGACCTGCTGAACACAGTCACCTAAAGTGGCCTGCAGTACTGCACTCTAACTGCTGCGCCACCTCGGCAGTAAATTTGAAGTCAAAGCAAATTGTCAAATTGAATTATATGCAGTGAAGTTACTCCAACAACTTGGAAGCATTTGCCGAATTTGCAAATTTCCTAAACAGATTCAGTTTGATTTTTTTTCTGAACATTTCCCCTGGAATTGTTGCAGTGATACTCTCTAGGTCAGAACAGCTATAAATAATTTTATTCCCCACCACACAAAGCCTTTAAAAATTGCAACCACTCTTTAAGAACACAATACTCATGACAATGTCTTCTAAGCTTATCCTATCCCCTAGGTTTAATTAAGCCCTAGTAAATTGTCTGACTCATTGTGGAATGAATATTTTTCATCTTCCCTCAACACAAACCTTACTGTTTACATGATTGTGGCACTTTAGCAGTGATGGAGCTAAAGTGATGGAGTAATTATGTAAAAGGGGATGTCATCTGTCCATTTCCTGCTGAATAAGCTGGAGACTGGCATGTCTGACACCCTACTAGTCATATTAAGTGAATAGAAACTGACAAGCAGATCATGTGACAGAAAGGGAAAATCTTACTCTTTGAAGTCATTTTTACTTTCCCCTCCCCCATCCTTTCACAGCCTCCCTGCAGTTGCAAAAGAATTGAAGCTGGCTAAAGAAGGAGTGTCTATGGAGATTCTCAGTCATCCAGGTCATAGTTATCCCAAAGATGTTTTTCCTACAACACAGTCCTTTCAACATTTCCAAGAAGGCTCCACACCCATTTGCACTACTCAGGTGATCCTGATGACACAGATAAACCTCAAAGGTGGCCTCAAAGACTTGCTAAAAGAATGCAAATGACCAGCTGTCTGCAAAGAATATGAATCCTTCCATTCCCTACCAGCCAAGAAGCTGAAGAAGCTTCTTGGATGAGAAGTGATATGTCTTCAAAGAAAACAAAGTCCAGTTGCCTTGTGAAAAAGCATCTTTGGGACAACTAATGAAGGTGACTTTCTCCGTGGCATGCCCTGGAATATCTCCCTTGCTTCAGTCTGTGCTTCCTCCCCAGCCCACCCTACAAGATTAAGGAGAGGTGACTATAATTTTGTTAGATAAATATGTATGCCACTGTATCCTTTCAAATTCAAGCTAGCTTGCAACAGTACCATATATTATATAAATGTCCTTGGTAAGAATAACCCTACAACCATTCATAACATATTAAAATCAATAAATGACATTAATAAGAACACACATGAATATACCGATGATGAGCAACTATTCCAAAAGGACCTCTGGAAAAATTTGGTCTTCACCAGTTTCCAAATACATACAGCATGTCCCGTTTGGCAGCCCATACCAACCCATGGCTCATCTGCAGCAACTGATCCATAGGAATGGGTGGAGCTCACTCTGTTCCATGGCTAAAGCATTGCAGGTGATCGATGCAGTGGACAGGAGCAAATGAGGGAACAAAGTGGCACAGAGCTGTCAACATGTCTAAAATGGCTTCTGGCAGAACTCTCTCCCATCAGCAGCAGGGACAATAATTTGTGCTTATTCTTTTCCACCAGGCAGATGAGAATGTTAATGGGAGGGAAAACTCAGCCACCAATCATTGTAACTTAAGTGGCCCTAGGGTAAACCGCCAGGACAATACCATTGTAATTTTCACTGCCATTAAGTACAGACATAGTCATTATGAAACAGCAATTCAGCCATCAACGTGACTACTTCACCACTTCCAATTTTCCAGTAAACTGAGGAGCTGGCAGAGAAAAGGCCCAGGAGCCACTTGGCCAACCTTTGGTGCCTTCTATTTCTGAAATGTGGTCGGGATTTTTAAGCCAATTGCTTAATACATAGCCATGTGCTATGTAATAGTAAAGTTGGAAGGGACCTTGGAGGTCATCTAGTCCAACCCCCTGCTCAGTCTCCTGTGCACCAGAGGGATTGCATACCCACATTTTTTGAGAGGAAAATAACTTAGAAAGGGAGAAATATGTCATAGTTTGTTGAGTTATGAAAACCCAAGGAGATGGATAACGGAACGGATCATCTAGAATTTTGATCAAAATAAACCTGTATTCCAACATCTTGTTCAGGCTTGTTGCTTTAAATTAACCCTGGAAAGGCTAGGAAGAGACAAATCTGGACAATAATATAACCCAACAGTTAATGGGGGTTTTTTTCAAGTGTATTTGAGAAAACCCATCCTTGAAGCTTCTAATCTGCCTCATCTATATTAGAAAAATATGGTTTATATATATCCTTCTAATTTCAGCATTATTCTTTTCAGCAGCATAATACATCAGTGCACTTGAAGAGCAATTTACATTGCATCATATCATTGAAAAAAAGTTTGCTGACCAAACCAACCACCATAATCTCTAGGAGCCAAGAGAGCTGAAGGTTCTATTTTGGAGACATATATTGAATTCAAGAAGGTGTCATCAGATCACATCTTGTTTCAAACCATTTTGAAACAAACCATTTTGGAGTAGAAATCATTAGATGTTCATTCTTACCCATTTCTCTGCAAAGATACTTATCACCTCAGGAAAAAACTTCCCATTAACCATTCTCCAATAGATGTTGACATGTTATGGCAGTGTATGGAGTAGGGTGTGTGGGGGGTGTGGGGGTGTGGGGTATGTATGTGTGTGTGTGTGTTAAATGGCAAAATGGTAATTGTGACCGTGAAAGTAAAGCATTTTTAATATGTCTATATAGTGAACATTAAAATGGGGTGGGGCTTGAATCACATGAAGACAGCCACCATCTTGATTTTTTTTTTAACTTTGCTGCAGATACTGCTGGTGGTTTTACAAGGAGAATGCGACCCACTGTTAGGAAGTCAACAACTGTACCGTGTCATTTTTCTGTATATAATGAAACTGCTGTATCTCTTTTGGCATTAAAAAATGCCAAATGCTGGTTGCAAATACTCTCATCATATGGTCAGACCCTGGAGTGTCATCCATGATGCATTGTTTATTAAGTACTGCATCTAAGTATCATCAGGCAGTGGCACTTTGGAAAATGTCCTCATCTGAAAAAATAAATCAGATGTTTCACAATTTACAATGTTCCTGCCAAAGTCTTTATCCCCTTTGGGTTCTTGAGATTGTACTGGATGATTCAGTGGGGGAAAAGAACACAGAAAAGCTTTTATGGCCCCACCAAGTAATTTTCTTGCTAAATGAATAATATTATTTTTTTTCTCTCCTTAATATTAACGTTGCATACTCACAGTGGCTCTGCCATCAGCTGCCATCCAAAGTATTGAAATAAATGGAGATGCTGGAAAAGAAAGACATAATTACATTTTAAATGCTAATAATACTAGGAAGATGCTTGTCATTAGCATTTACTGGGCATACTGGAGTGTTGCTAGTTACACTGCACTGTATCCCATGCAACAGAATTCAAGTACTACTCTAAATAGCCAGCCTGCAGAAGGAACACATTCAGTCCCTGAGGCCCCGGGTTCAGGATTGAACCAAGGAACCAAAGACAAACAGCCAAAAGAAAGACCCCTAAAGAAGAAAGAAATATAGCACTGAACATAAATTCTTTAAATCATAATTTGTTGACCCATTAAAAAAATTATCTAGTTGATACACAATGGGTTAGCCCCTAACCAAATGGGTTCATATAAGTTATCTAAAAATGAGTATCCCCCCTCCTTCTACTTCCAGTAATTAACTATACAAGATGTAGCTTGGGGAAGTAGGGTATAGAGGCTGAAACTCATGAGGACAAAGGACAAAGAATAAATAAATAGTGAAAACAAGCAAAAGGTTCCCCAGAGATTCATAACTATAGCACCAGATTACAGTGCAGCTCTCTGGTTCTTCAGACAGGAATAAAACATTTTCCCCTCTTCTTCACCCAACTTAGAAGCCAAAGTAGGAAACCCATTGATGTGTGGGGCACTGCTGCAGGAAGATTTGTTCTGAGCATAATTTTTACTCTGTGGGCAATAACAAAAACAGAGTACATATCCATTATGCTTAAAACAGGAGCACAAGGCACACAAGAGTGCACACTGTGATGTTAGAAAGCTTGGTGTATTTTTTTTTTCAACTATAACTCTGCAAAGGCAGGCTCCAGTTTCTAAAGTTTAGAAATTAAATCTCTGATTGCCACCTTCACTCTGGGTGAAGAAATGTCTTTATTTTTATTTTTTTTCTTCTTCTTCGAATTGTTTCCCATTCTCCCATGGCACTGAAAAAGGCACATAATACTTAATGCAACATCTATGTAGCTGTACAGCTCTAATTTTCCACCCATCGATACAACTAGATTTTGAATTATTCCTGCTAGTAAATTATGATATTAAGGACTGAAGCACATCTTAATAAATCACAGAAGCCTCAATTATTCAGAAATGCATCATAAAAATATTCCCTTTTCAAAAATATTTGGCCTAAGGAATGACATTTAACTTAACAAAAATAAAAATTACTTCATATATGGACAGAAATTTACACCGACACACAAGTTGAACAAGTCAGCTTCATGAGAAAAACTTTGATTTAAAAAACCACTGCTGCTAACAATAGACCAAAACACTCAGGTTCGTATTTAACAATAATGAATTAAAAATAATAGAGATGTTAAAGCTGGCTACAAAAAAGTCTAAAACAAATGAAGAGGAATGCTATACAAAACATTTTCAGTGCTGTTTCAAAATTACATCCCAAACATAAACAGATAAGAAACCCTTTATTTGATATACAGTAAATATTATAAGGAATAACAAAAGTTAACCAGAAGAGAAATAATATAACAAACAATATTTTCATCATTTGAAACCTATAAGAAGCAGTGAAGAGAAATGTGGTCTGTGGTGAAGTGCTACAATTCCCATTGCAACTAAAAAAGGGAAGTTACAAACGCCACCTTTAAAATAGTTGTGTGTTTCCGACCATGTCTGATGGCATCTGGCTCTAGTGTTCTAAAGCTTCTCCCAATTTATTAAGGACACACTTCCTAACTAATGTTATAATGGGATTAGTGTGGGTCTGCTATGTTTGTCTGAAATTCTACAAAAGAATCTGAAAGAAGATTCACCAGACTCCATGGCAGCAGATAGAAATCATATTTACCAATTTTTTTACTATGTCAAATAACTCATCTTTGCTTAACCTTTAGAAACTCAGCTGTTTGCTGAGAAACGTCTTCCTTTCTCCAAGCCTTCCTGGAATGACTATCTGAGTTTGCAATGTCATGAAGTCAAATGACCAAACCAGGAAATGCAGAGAAGATGACTCCCACAAGCATACCAGGCTTTTTAAAAGATTCAGAAAGATGAAAGGATACCTGGTCTGCCTTGTGCAGTTTAGTAATTAAATGAAACCTTCCTTACAGATTTTTTTTCTTTTTTCCTGAAAAAAAAAGGAGAAAATGGAACCGGACCTGGTCGTTTCTGTTAATATACATCCCTCGGTGGATATGTTGTTATATTCACCATTCAGTCGTGTTTGACTCTTGATGACTTTATAGGCAAGTGCTCTCCATGCTACCCTGTTGAGCACAGCTTCTTTCAATTGTTGGATGTTTGTGTCAGATTTGATGTTATCAAGCCAGCGTGTTCTTTGCCTGCCCCTTCTTCTTGTTCCACTAACCATTCCTAGCATCACTGCCTTCTCCAATGAATTTGTACATATCACATGGCCAAAGTAAATCAGATGTAGCCTTATGATTTTAGCTTCTAGTGATGTGTCTGGTGGATCTCTTTGGAGGAAAATAGTCAGTTTTGCTTTCAGCAACATTCACTGGATTGCTTGTGACTGGACTGTATTAGATCACTTTCAGTCAGTAACTTTATCAAAATAGAGGCTCCCAGATGATTGGGGTTACATAAACCCAGATATCGTGGCCAATGTTTGCTATTATGGCTATGATAGTCCGGAGCAGGGCTTTTCAACCGGTGGTACACGTACCACTTGTGGTACATTAATGAGTGGCAGGTGGTACGCAGCCCTGCCTAGCCAAGTGTAGTGGGGGAGGAAAAGAACCAGCACAGGACTTGCAGTGAGAGAGTCCTCTGGAGCTGCAAATGCCCTAGGCTCGCTTCTGGCTCACCCTCCCCCATGAGAAAGGAGGAGGGGATGGAGACAGGAGAGCCTATAAAAGGAGGCAGTTTGGGCAGGAGAGGGAGAGAGAGAGAAAACAGCAGTCTTGGGATGAGGCAGAGTCAGCTGCACCGAAGGGGAAGAAGGAGGGGGAGGGTGGGGGGAGAGGAGATCAAGCAGGCTGGCCATGAGCCGATCTACAACTGCTGTGGCAGCCACCTGTGCTGGCAGCAGCAAAGAGGCAAGAAATGCAGTGGGGGAAGGGTCACCCTCCAAGAGGAATGAAAAAAGGCAGCAATGGCTGGAGCTGAGGCACGGAGGAGGGAGGGAGATGGAGAGTGGAAGGATTCTTATGTGCTTTTGTGACTTTGAAGTGCTGGGATTTGTGCAATGAGGGCTTTGTGTTCTTAAGGAGTGTTTGGCAATTTCTATTTGGCTGATGGTTGATGTCTCCTGTTAACTTCTATTGCTCTGCTGTTGTTAGCTGTAAGTTTTGCTGCAAGGGATTTTGAAGTATTTTTCTCCTGAATGGATTTTGCCTGTAGCATTCCTTTACTTATGAATGGAGCCATTTGGGGAGGTTGCCTTAGCCGGTAGCCAGTACTTATATATTTTTTTCTTCCTTAAGTGCCAGCTGTGCTCCTTACTTTCCTTTCTAGAGCCAGTAGCTAATTCTTAAAGGGGAATGTGACTTTTTAAGCTAGTTCACTCAGCAGCTTGTCTTTTCTGTCTCTGGAGACCTTTCCTTATTTGATCAGTATATGGAAGAGGGAAAATATGGGGAGGGGGTTCAAATTCTTCCTTCAGAAGAAGATGGAAATGAGAAAAAGAGAGGCAGGGAAGGGAGGGAGGAAGCACTTGGCCTTAGCACTTGGCCACCAGCAGCTCTGCCATTGACTTTGCTTGTCAAAAGGTTGCAGAAGGGGGTCTTCCGGTGGTTAAAGCGGTGGAGATGGCGGCTACTTTGTAGCCGTCCTCCTGAGAAGGTGTCAGATCCGCGGAGCACAGCGTTTACCAGCTGGCCCGCGGCTCGCAATCCCCTTCCCGGGCGAAGGGAAGGGGTAGAGATCGCATGAATAGAGGTAGAACCTCTTAACTCTCCCTGGATTTTTATTTTTAGGGGGGTAGAAAGAGGGTTCCCTCGGAGTTCATTGCCTTCTCCGCCTCTCAGCTGTCTTTGTTTCTTCGGAAACAAAGCGAGACGCCGCTACCATCTCCGTACTTAAAGAAACCGTGAGTAATCTTAAACCGGACAGAACTGTTTAAAGGATTTTATTTATAGTTTAGCTTTATTTTATTTTTTTTTAGTTTATTTAGTTTATTTAGTATCTGCTGATTTTTTTTTATTTTTTTGAGCTTTCTCTTTTTTTTCGGGCGGAAAAGTGAGAGTGAAAGTAAAATGGCGTTTTGAAAGTTTTTTTTCCTTTAAAAGACGGATCGGCTGAATTGTTGTTTAATACTGCTTTTTTTTTACTTTTTTTACTTTTTTATTCTTGGGGACTTTTAGATTGATCTTATTTTATTTTATTTTATCTTATTTTTAATTTTTTTTTGGATTACTTATTTTTATCGGTATTTTTAAGAAGAAAGGAAGATAAATTAAAATGGCTTCAAAACGACAACCAGCTACTGCAGCTTCTAAAGTAACTTCTTCTCCTGCTACTTCTACTGTGCAACAACAACTTAAAATAATACCCTCAGTGCAGCAACCTAAATCCACTCCACCTTCACCTCCCCCATCTGGCACATCAGCACAAGACATTAAAGAAATAATGGTAAGTGCTGTCTCACAGTTTAGGGAGGAAATGAAACAACTTTTGGACCAGAATAAATCTGAAACTAAGGAGGAAATGAAGAAAGAGATGAAGGAGCTTTTAGAACAGAATAATGCTATTTTGAGGGATGATATACTTCTAGCTCTATCTGGAATGGCCTCAGTGGTTGTGAAGCTGGACTCCAGAGTAGAGGAAATTGAAGAAACAGTTGAACTTTTGGATTATAAATTTCAAGATATGGAGAAAAAAGTGGAGACTTCACAAGATGATATTCTTATGTTCCAGTATAGACAGATGGAATATGCTTTGAGAATAAGGGGTCTGAAAGAAGATAAAACTCAAGATTTGATGGAAATGGTGATTAATGACTTGGCTGTTATTTTGAATATTGATAAAGAAGAGTTACGTGGGGATGTGGAAAGAATTTATAGAGTTAATTCTTGGA